ATTATGTCACACTTCTCTAGTAAGTTTCGTCTGTGTGTGAAGACAGTAGCGCAGATCCGTGAATGAATGTTTCGAAGTGAAATAAACTTTAACGGAATAAAGTTGAATGGAATTTAATTGAATTAAAGTTGAATAAACTTCAACCTTACTGTTCAGTGCACTGATGTCAGACTCATTTTGGATAATAAAGTTTATTTTTAAATTGTTAAATGCCCTGCCTCCATTACGTATCTCTGTCACGTCATTATAAGTGTTTGATCACCACATTTGAGTGATCATTGCAAAAAATGTGTTTATGTATATATATATTCTGTTTATGTATATACTGTATTCTATATATAGTACCAGTCAAATGTGTGGACACACGAATGGGAAAGTGTCCAAACTTTTGACTGGTACTGTACTATAATATACACAAAAAAATATCGGCCGATATATCGATATCGGCCTTTTTTGAACTCCCTAATATCGGTATCGGTCCCAAAAAAACCCATATCGGTCGGGCTCTAATTTCTATTCTATATATTAACATGTGCTTCAGTATGTCAAAATGATGTGCAAAAGATGATTAAAAAGGTTTAAAAATTCACTTTACGTTAGAACTTTAGTGCACTTCTTTAAAAAAAAGTTAAGAAATGTATTTAATGACATTTATTTCATTAATATTATATTACATGCAAGAAGAGTTTTTTTTTTTTTACATTTGTTTAGTTGTGCACTTTTTTCCACAAGGGCAATGTTCCATAAAGGCAAGAAGGTGTTTGAGAAACACATACATTCACTTTATTGATTTTTTACAAATTTTCCAGTGATATGACAAATTCCATAAACATTTTTATTACTTCAAAAATATTTTCTGTTTAAAATGCACTGTAAAACATATGCAAGTATGATGGACATTTACTCACTCTCTCTAATGGTGCTGAAGGTCCACTGGTCGTTTTTAAAGAAAGGATGTCTTTTAATTTCTTCTACGCCACTTCGACCCAGGCGAACCTCCCTACCAAATGCAAACATCCACAAAAACATTTTGTCAAACAGGCGTGAACCCTGGCAGTTGACCATCAATATGGAAATACATGTACATCTATCTGTGCATGTAAAAGCTCACCTGTCTGTTAGGAAGGCACAGATTATGTTTTTAGCTTCTTGAGAGATCTCAACGTCACCAGGAAAGTTAAGAGAGTTCTTATGGTCCATAATCTTACTATAGGTCCCCACCAGAGAATCAGCGTAAAACGGTGTATCACCTACATACACAAACATTAATCTCATTTAATAAATCAATACCACGAATGCACAATTTAGGCAAACGCACAGATTCACATTACTGACTCACCAACCAGCATCTCGTAGATAAATACTCCCACTGACCACCAGTCACACTCGCGTCCGTAGTATCCATCCCCTCCCTGAGACTTGAGAACCTCCGGTGAGATGTAATCGGGGGTTCCGACCGCAGTGTCGCAATGAACCATCCCCGTCTATCATCAACCAACCAATCAATAAGTCAACTGATAGGATCTTTGTCGATCTAGGTCTAGAGACTCAACAGCAATATATACAATTTACAAAAAGTAATATCACATTACATTACACACAAACGGATGTGTACTGGCACTAATTCAAACATTTTTCTTAGTGTGTAGTTCTGCTTCTCTACTCTAGATGGCACTATAATATCACCAAGCAGTATGTCCAGCCTAGTTTTTGTGGCTGGATTGTGGCACTAAATGGCATGGTCAGAAATTAACCAGGACTTGGGGGAAATAACTGGCAATAAAAGTGACAAAAATGCCCCAGATATGAAAAATGTGGGGCAAAAAAAAAAAAAACATTTCCCTGTAGTGAATTTCATATATTAGTATCTGTAACATAACATTTGATATATTTCATAACCTTCTATTCTAGGCCTATCTAGTCTTGAGTTCAGTGCCCCTGCAGACACAGTAGCTATCAGATACCTACAATCTCAGAGGTGGCCACTGTTGAATAAATAGAAATATATTGATATATTTGCCGTTTAAAATTTTAGATTGGTGTTCAACTTCAGTGTTTTTATGGCTTGGATCTTTTCTCATGACTCCACCAAGCTCATAACATTTAAGTATGCCAGACCCATATATCCAATATTTTACAGCTATTGCTCTATGATTACCACATATAAAAGTGATAAAGCAGAAAATGTACAGGACAGGATCACAATGTAACCTTCAGTGCATCAAACACAACTGAGCTATTTGTGCCGATATCCTATAAAACTAGAACAGATGGGGGGGGGGGGG